TTAATTCATTAAAGTAATTTTATAGGAACTAAATACATATATTGCGGAAAACAAACTTGCAATACTAAATGTAGAGTATGGTAACTAATTTGAGGCATGTTTAGTAGAAATCGTTGACCAAACGATTCTGAAGAATATTTGTTCCAATAACTTGATAGAAATAAAATGCATCTATTCTAAAGCGAATCATCAATATCCCACGTGTTAAATATATCACTATATCATCATTTTCCTATTTCTACGAAATAATGGCATTACCTAAAACCGTATTTTGCAGAATCCATTTCATTGATAGCTTATATCAATGCTGATGTGCCTCTATTACATACAAAACGCCTGCAGGGGAATTATTTAATAGATTCAATTAATTTCTGGTAGGGATCGAAAACTGAAATGATATTGATAATTAGATAATCAGGTATTAATATGTAAATTAATATATAATTATGTTCACTCAAAATATAAAACAAATGTGGGATAATATACTATTGTTGACGTAAATTTGTTCAAATGTAGTAACCATTGGTTAATAATGGATTTGTGAGCTCACTTATTTAGGTATAATTTTTGATATAAGTTTTTGCATTAATTGATTAATTGACTTATATGAATAAATGTACTTATTGATTAATTTATTAATTATAACTCGTCATTAAATTCAATATTATTAAATTATTTATTCAAACATTTATGCATTTGCAAATCTACCATTTATTTTTCCTTTTATTGATACACCCATTTGCCCATTTGTTTTTTGTTATATTAAATGATAAAGTAAAAATCCAATAAACTTAAACTAAATTAATCATAAAAATAATGTAAATTGCTGTCATTATATTTGTTGACAATTAAACAATCGTTTAATAAAATTGCCTCTAAAGCAAATCTGATTCTTACTAAAGTTGTACCAAAAATTTTTGATAAAATCTTAGCAATAAAATGGTTTTATCCAAGATAATTACACAATATTTTATATAAAAAAAATAGTTCAAAATTAGTGAACCTAACAACTGCCTAATAAAATTGCCTTTAGAAAAGTGACAAAAATAAGATTCTTAGTAGAGATGTTTCATTAACTAATTTAATAAAATTATCATCGAGAACTTTTTTGTTTAATTTTTACACATTCGGATAACTTAGTAATAATAGATGCAGAAATTAGTACTAGTCTTCTCATTTATTTGTCATATCAAATTATTCATTCGAAATAGACAAGAATCACAAAAGTACATGTATATAGAAATTTTACTAAGGTTGTTTCATTTAATTAAATTGATCTAATAATCAACTTGTACTTGAGCCATAAATTAAAGATAAATAATTGTGTTTTCATAATCTAATTTAAAATAGTAGCAAGAAAATAATTTTATCTAAAATAATAGTATATTTTATTCCATATATAATTTTTTTTTTAAATTTCAATTTTTATTACAACTGTTAATTAATCATCTAGCAAAAAAATCATCTAGTAAAATTCTTTGAACTTTAAAATAAAAAATAATGCATAGTATTACAAATTAAACGCCATCTATATGATGACAATAATTTCATGTAGCATCAATTTTTTTTTTTAATTTTCACTCATTCGAATAGTTCAGTAAATTAGTAAGGAATTAGTACTAGTATTTCAAAATTCTGGCAAGTTAAACAAAACATTATTGAAAAGTCGAAACTAAAATTACATTTCAATTCGCTTCTTTGTTGCAGCTTAAAAATTTAACTACGCATTTAAACCACATTATAGCGTTGTGCTAACCGTTGATTTACAAATAAACAGGCATTTAAAGTAACATAATGGTTAGCCATTTGAATTAATCAATGAAATAGTGTTTTATACATTTTTTAGGATGACCTTCGTTGTATTTTTTACAATTTATCGCAAAAAAACGAAGCGAAGATATTGCTGTGAGAAAAAACTGAAAAAATGTAGGGAAAAAATCTGCAAGAATTTACACGTTTCGTTGATTGCATATTATCGCCATAATTGTAAATATAATAATCATAAATTTTGTTTTGAAATCTATTTAATATAATTAGTACAGCTCTTTTATTGACTTAACTCTCAATTGTTATATTTTAATCGCCAATGAATATATGCAAAAAAATCTCAATTTTATAAAAAATATTTTTACAGAAGGGTAGGGCGTGGCACAATAGTCCAATCTGATTTTCAGTAATTATATTTTCTAATCTAAATGAACTACTTAACAACACATAAGACGTATCACAAAAACAACTATCTAAAAATGTTCAGTAAAATTTCCAGTTAAATCCTAATTATAGAAATATGTTTTTTTACTATTTTTCTAAAATTTGTAATCTTTTCATTTAAGTGGTTGATAAGGGACTGCCAAGGGTCAAAGAGAACCAACGAATTTTGAAGAAATTTTACAAGCTACATTATTAAGAGCTACATTATCTAACCAATCTAAAATACAAATTTGATCAGAACATTTTTACAAAAAAAATATTGTATACAACCTTGATCTGGTATGTCCAATATAATATTAATTGGGCAGAGGTGGAATAACTATTAATTTAATTTATCTCTTGTGAAATTGCATTTTTTAACTTAAATTACTTTTTTATTTACTATTACATGAAGTTTATAATTTTGCCAATTAAAATTTTTAGTTGTTTATTTTTACCCCACCCATATGTAAGCTTTTATAGAGGTTATATAAAAAGAAACTGGTGAATTTTACTTAAAAATAATAGCACATCTTACAAAACAATTAAATAACGTTTACCTAAAAATTTTATTCAGGTATTATGAACTAAATATAAGAGCTCAAAACCAAAATACAACCAACAAAGAAAAATACTTTCGGTTTATATATAGACACATTTCCGTTGATCTCTTGATAGGTTACACATTTGTTGCCTTCTACTTTAAAATAGTAATGTATAAAAAATATATACTTTGAGATAATGATGGTCGATCTTTCCATCCGAGGATTTTTAACAAATTTTAAATATTTCATCTATATATAAAAATGCAATATGTCTCTGCAATGTCTCTTCAAGCAACCACAGATTATTTACATAATATAGTTTTTAATAATTTAAGCTAAAAAAAACAACACATTTAAATTAATCTATAAAATAATTAAATATCCAATAAATCAGAATGTAAACTGCGGTCATCATATTTATATTATTTGTTTACAAATACATCCGATGTTTGATATACTAAGTTGCTCATAAATGAGTTTTATGACTCTTGATTGATGTTACAATGTACGCGCATCGATATAAGTGTATATTTTCATATAAAAATCTCTCTTCGACGGGCCTTCACTCAAAACATCGAAAACAAATGTGGTATTGAAAATTCAACCGAGTAATACGATGTTATCGATATATGCTACTGAATCTTGTATGCGTTCAAAAGCGATGAAAAAGAAATGAGAATACTTTAAATTCCTTATTTATATTGAAATTTGTGTATGTTGTAAATATTCGTATAAAGAGAAAATTTGCGATTGTTTGAACTGAAAGTAGAGTACGGAAACAGTTATTTTCAATCACATGTAGTAACTGTATTTGTTTGCTGCAAAAAATATTGTTCCGGGATAAGTTGAATTTAATTTTATAGTTTATACAGTAAGTTTTAGTTTTTTGAGAATTGCAAAATATAAATTAGTACTAATTGTGCGATTCTTCCTCAGAAGTAAGTGATCAAAATATGAATTTGTACTAATTGTGTGATTGTTCCTTACAAATACATTATCAAATTTCAAAGTTGAGTAAAGTGTGGCACAAAGATCCAATTTGACTTTGGGCAATTACATATATTGTGAAAACCATACCAATTATATTACAACAAATAATTCATAATAAACAAACAACTATCTGTCTATGTTCAGTATAAACCCCAACATTGTAGAAATGTGTTTTTTTTTGTTGTTTTTTCAGAAATTTGTCATCTGGTCCTTTTTACCCAATAGGCGCAGTAAAATGACCCGGAGGCACACAGGGTATTATTTTAATTTGAAAAAGATTTTACGAAATATTAGCTACATTATTCAACCAATGCAAAATATAATTTTTTTATAGAGATAACACTGCACATAAGCTTGATCTGGTATTTCGTCAAATATATATTCGTCAGCAAAGCTGGAATAACTATTTATTTAATGTATCTCTTGTAAAAAAAAATAATTTAATTTACTTTTTTATTTAGAGTTTTTTATTGTTCACACCTTTGCCAAGGTAAAGCTTCAGTTAGTCCTTTTTACCCCACCCACGCGTAAGGTTATATAGGGGTTATATATAAAAACCTTTTGAAGCTAACTTACTAATAACAATACATCTTATAACAATTAATTAGCGTGTACTTAAAAATTATATTAGGGTCTCGTAAACTAAACAAAAGTGCTCACAACCAAAAACACTAACGACCAACGGCAATACTTTTGTTATGAACTTTCAAACATTGCCGGGCGATATAGATATATGATGATATTTTTTAATCGATGACGAGCAAGTATATTTTTTATTTTATTTTCATGTACATCATATTTTACTATTTTTAATATTGTCGGTACAAAAGGTTGTACATAAAATTTCAAATCTATACATAAGTACATATTATGAAATGTTGAATTTTAGCGCCCTGAGCCTTCATTTTAATGAACTTCCAAATTCTATGTGAAATACAGTTCCACCGTTTTTAAAAGTATCTTATTCTAAAACAAAATAACTAACCAAATAGTTTATTTTAGCATCAAGATAAAAATGAATAGACCGTGTGTTTAAAGAATGCATAAACAAGGAAAGCATTTATACAAATACAATGCGCGCAATGGCCTGTCGAGCGATTGAGTATTTTCAGTAGTATTGGGAAAGATGCGAATATTTGGATAATATAAAAAATAGGTCGTCTGTCGATTTTTACACACCACATAATAAACAACAATTTCCTTTACCATAGCACCTTATTTGAGCACATAATTCACTAATCACGAAAATCGGTTTTAGTCATGTTAGAATCTCACCTTTGTGTGTGTTGATGCTGAAGCAGGTGAGGAAGGTGATGGGTGTGAAATCGAGACCAAGTCCTTCGCGGTTCTGCCTAAGACGATGCACGTTCGAGTAGAATACGGGCACCTCCTCGTGGTCTAATTCCGAGACAGTTACGTCCTTAAGTCCTTTTACAATGTGAACAGTGCTGATCTCGTTCCACGTGGCTTCCTTCGGTTCCTCTTTATGTCCACCGTCTTTCCACCCGTACATATCAGAACGAAAAACGCGACGCGAAGTTCTACTCTCGGTTGGTCGGCACTTGTGATAATCGTTTCAGTACAATCGTTTAATTTTTTTTAATCGTGGGTAATCTAGAGTAGCGACCGCTTTAGTGATCCGTTTGCGTCTGGCCGCGTTTTACCACTCAGGACCGGTCGGTTATTAAAGTGCCGACTTGATGAGACGCCCACTACTTAAAGACGAAGGAGTAGAGGACTCCCCTTCTATTTGCGTATTTCGTCCAGCGGCAATCGGCTCGCAATCAGGCTACTTCTATTGCAGCTAAACGTTTCGTCAGCGATAGTACGAGGGCCAGAAAAACTAGTGGTGCATGGCATCGCGCCTTAAGGCAAATTTCTAAAACTTTGAAAACAATAAATTTTTGAGGATTTTAGATTTTTTGGAAAAATTTGACTTTTTTGAAAAATTTAGATTTCTTTAATACGAGTATGTATTGTGATTTAAAAAAACAGTTTTTTTGGTTAATACAAATAAAATGCATTTTGAATTAGTCAAAGCGGTTGATCCAATCGTCGACGGAAATTTGTATCTAAACACACACACATACATCCTTATTATTAACGTACTTCTTATTAAGATATTTATAAAATATCTAATGATTTAATGTGCACATGACTAATGATCATTTTTGACCGTCAAACGGATTTTTGGTAACCTGTCTTTGAACTTTTGAAACCGAAAGACCTGCCCTCTCAAAATTTTAACCAGTTCTTTGTTTTGTCAATACATGATTTTTGTAGTATTCGAATCAGTTGATTCGTGTGTTCTCGAAATTATCGACAAAAAAATTGTATCCAAACACACACACACGCACACACAAAAATCCTCATTATCAATGTACTTATTATTATAATCTCTATAAAATATCCAATAATTGGATGTGCATATGCATTTTTGTACGCCAAATGACTATTTTTACTTTTTTTTTATTAAATCTTTGGAACTGCTGGACTTGCCTACCCAAAAATTTAACCAGTTCTTTATTTCGTCAATACATGATTTATTAATTATTCAAATCGGCTGATCCGTATGTTCCTGAAATTGTCGACGAAAATTAGTATCCGAACACACACACAGTCACACACACATACGTACATCTTCAGAAGTACATATTCAGAAAAGATTAAAACGTAAAGATGTATAAAAATTTCGTTTTCGATATTTTTGCGTTTACTATAACTTGCCCAACAGAAAGTTAATTTAAATTTTTTTATTAAGCAATAATTAGTTTTGATTGCAATCCTCCATACCTAATTATAAAAATACATACATAATTATAATTATGTATGTATTTTTATAATTAAAAAATCATCTGATTTCAAATTAAACATTTTTAAATTCCCGAAAAAGTTTGTCTTCACCGGAAAATTGGACCATGTTTTGTCGACGTTTTATGTCATTATGGATTGTTTGAGACCAAAATTATAAGAAATATGTATAAAGGTGTGTGTGTGTGTATGTGAGACTATAATTGGAATTTTATTGACTTTTTCTTTAAAAGAGTATTAAAAAATCGATTTTGTTTTTTTACATGTTTCAAAGTTTAACTGTTAGAGAATATGAGTACTAGAAGAATTTACAAAATTCCATTTATTTTTGGAGGTATTGCTTTAACGCGTTTTTTTAAACTGTCTTTTTCGATACGATATCCACGATTTCCTTGAAATTTTTACAGAGTCTCTTTTATAGACCTCTCTCCCATCCCCAAATTGCAATTCAAAAAAAGTTTAAGAAAATACTTTTATTTCAGACAGTCATTCTAATGCCTCTAGTGCAAAATACCTCTTTAAACAAGCTGAACCAATTTTAAAAATTTAAGAGCTATTTGATGTAACTGAGTTATTATAAATAATTTAATTACATACATTATGATGTTGTAATTTTTGTTTAAAATTTTGTTTAAACATTTTCTAAGAAAAACTGTTGTAAATTATATGATAGATATAATTTATAAAAATGCAATATTTTGTGCACTCTCCTTGTTTGTTTGGTTTGATTTTTTGAAGGGCCAATGATTTATTTTAAAACACTTTGATTGTAATATTAATTACGTGTTTATTTTTAATATAACTACAAATTGTATTTGTATTTGCAATATACTCAAAAGTTTAATGTATAGTATTCATTGATACAATTTATGATGATTTTTTATTAGATTTCTGTTGTTTTTTATATCATAATATGGTATGTTTGATTTGAATCCTAATTATAATGTACATATTGTCAATCTAAATAAAAACTGTATTCGAGTACAGAATAAGTATGATTCTTAAAATAATAATTACTAGTGAGCATTTCATAGTTTATTCAAGATCAAAATAATATTGTTATTCATTACTTGCACCCATTATAAAAAGGGATTTTATTGAGCACATATCAATAGTATCATGCTTCAAACATACGTAAAAAATGTAATAATATTTTTAAAATAAATTAGTAAATATTGGCGGGCTTTTCTTTCAAAATCATAGAATAAACAGTTCAAATACACGTAGAAATGAATGGTATCTATCAATATTTCTCAGTTTTATCACTGTATGTACTGTAACAATATTTGTTCTACTGACAACAGATCTATTTGCTCATGAAAACGCATATAGTACAAAATAGGTAAACACTTGTAACAGCAAGTTCATATTTCAAATATTGAAGATTTAAAAATGCTAAAGAAACTATAACGTATACAAAAGAATCCATGTAAAGGTTAAGTAAACTGTTCTGAATAGCTGGGCATATAAACACGAGAATAAAATTCTAAATATAAAAATATAAAAACTCATCATTTTCATATTTTCAATTGTTAGTTAATTTTAAATACTAAATTTTTACCGATTGGTAATCGAAAATTTGTTGATTTAAAATATGGAAGTATCATCATTTTCATATTGGTGCACCAAGTTGCTCCAAGGTTAATGATATTAGCAAATATTGTAAGAAATTTAATTTTATACAAATTTGTTAATAGTTTTAATTAAAATAAATAAAGTTTGAAAGTTAAAAGAGAAATAATAAATAAAAGTATGCATCTGTAAGTTGATTCACGTTTTAGCTCGATAAAATTATGTGCAACTCTAAGGTTCATCGAGTTGGTATAAAGGTTTATAAAACATTAAAATAATTTGATTAATTAAAATTTTTTTAAAACATAAATAAATTATTAATTATATACTTACATAAGTATTATTATTTATATATATTTTATTCATATTAGACAAAATCAGCGGTTTGCAACCTGTGGGGCGCGCCCCCTCCTCGTGTACATATGTTTCCAGAATAATATTTTCGAAAATAACCCAACATTTTTGAAATGGAAATAAAAAATGAACAAAAAATAATACTATTTGGATACATTTTATATAATATTGCATATTAATTTGTAGTCTGATAATATCAGTTGAGTATTTATAAAATTAAATTGTTGTAAAAAATTAAGAGTGCAACAATTTTTTTTTATTAGAGCAGGGGTGCGCGGTGCAAAAAAGGTTGGAAACCACTAGATAAAATGTTTGAAACTTATGATAGATAGAAGAAAAAATTGCATAGTCAATTTGAGATCAAGTAGTGATATTATTTGGCTTAAAGGTCCGCGGGTAAAAAGGTCTGCAGCCCATATCTCAAAAGCAAATTGAACTTACAATTTTTTAACAATCATATTTGAAAGTAGAGGGGAAAAGATGTGTAACCTGCTATCACCTTGATTTTTACGACGTCGCTGTCAGGATATAAACGGCAATGTTTGAAAGTCTATGACAGAAGTGTGTTCTTCTGTTCACTAGTTTTTGTGGATGTGAGCACTGTTGTTTAGTTTACGAGACCTTAATATAATTTTCAAGTCTATATTATTTAGATGTTTTGTAAGATGTATTGCTAATTCAAAGTTAGATTCAACAGTTTTTTATATAACCATTATAAAATGTAATATGTGGATGGGATAAAAAGAACCATCTGAGCCTTTAACCTGGAAGAGGTGTAAACAATAGAAAATAGTAAATAAAGAAGTAAATTAAGTAAAAAGAAGCAGTTTTACAAGAGATAAGTTAAATAGAGAGTTATTTCCACTTATAACTCTGCTGATGATTACTTCTGACAAAATACCTGATCTAGGTTATATACAGTGTTATCTCTGTAACAAACGTACCCATAAAATTTATATTTTGCGCTGGTTGAATAATGTAGCTAATATTTTGTAAAATCCAATTAAAATTAAAAAGAAGACATTAAACTTGTTAGCTTCCTGGCTGTCTTATTTTAGCCTGCCTATGGGGTAAAAAGGACCGCTGTCAAATTTTTGAAAGCAGCAAAATAACACATGTTACAATGATGAGTTAGCTGGGATTTATACTGAGTATAGTCAGATAGTTGTTTGTTTGATATGTGTTTTTTGTTGTGTTATAATTGGTTTGGTTTTTAGAATATAATTGCTCAATGTCGAATTGGACCTTTGTGTCTCACCGTACCCTATGTATGTTCTTTTTTTACAAAAATATGTTTAATACTAAACCCCTCGACTGCCAATATTTCTGCAAATTATATAGACATTCAATATGATGTGCGATACATATTGATATAAAAATAAAATATAAAAACATACATAATATGATTAAGTTATCTGTTCTCTGAGTTGATGTTCGAGTAAAAATCCCAGTTTGTCATATGACTCTCATATTTATTTCCACACACTTAAAATATTTATCGACATTCATACGCACCGTTCATAAATAGCCATGTCAAGTTCAAAAATTATAATCGTTCGTAAAACATAATTTGAAATCTATTTACTACTGTCCTTGTGCAGGCTTCGATAATTTTGATATTACGAATCGGCAAATAACAAAAATTTATTCTAATAACGATATGGAATTTATAATCGTGGGCAGTGAAATGTATAATACCGATAGAGCGTGCCAACGTGGACGGCGGCTCTTCCGAAGTT